AGAGAGAGAGAGAGAGAGAGAGAGAGAGAGAGAAATGATGACAAGTGCATTTTCATGATTCATTTCTTTTCAATGAAATACTTTCCCCCCAAAATTTCACTAAAATGCATCCAAAAAAAAGTTTCTTTACTTGTATAGGAAAAACAGTTCATCCTTCAATGTCTGGCGACAACCAGTGCATCTACAAAGGAGAATATTTCTAAAGCGAGGTAGATGAAATAAGGATTACAGTGACTTGTCACTTCTTCTTTTTTTGTTGTTGTTTGTTTAGTAAGAGTTTTACGGCACTTGCAACACAATAAGGTCATATAAGTGCTGAACATTAGAGGTGTAACAAGAGAGTAACATACACATAAAAAGAAGGAGGGGAGATAAGGACGATAGATGTTTGATAGGAAAGAAGGAGCAAACCACACCGGAGCATCCACCAACCACCCACCTAGTCACTTCTGATGTATGGCCAATAAGACCAATTCTGGCAGATAAGAGGTTGCCACATTTTTTCCTTCTTTTGTACAGTTCAATAAAACACATTAAAAAATTTCTTCTTCACAAAAAATATCCAGCAAAAACATTAAAACATCCCTAAAAAAAATCTTAAAAGACATACAATCAAACCTTTCTTTATAAAAATTTCAACCTAAAATGCACCAGGAACAATGAGTGGCGCAATTATTGCCGAAAAAACACAAATAAAAATGTGAACTTGCATAAGTCACAAGCCACCTGGTGGAAATGGAAGTTAAGGAAAGAAAATGGATTTTATGCATATTCAGAGGTTTTCCACTGGCAAAAAAACAATCAAAATTGGAGAGTTCTGACTTTATTGGAGAACATAGCAGATCTACAATTGGTGTCAAGAGGGGCTAGTTGAGATTAGAGTTTTACGCCACTTGCAGTGTCAAAGATTAGAGATGTAACAAGACAGTAACAAACACAAAAAGAGAAGGAAGAAAACAACAAAAAACAAGCACGTAAAACGTTAGTTTAGTTTTAGTGGAGGTTCTACGGCGCTCGCAACTGCATAAGGTCATATGAGCGCCAGAAGATTAGAGGTGTTACAAGAGAGTAACAAACATAAAAAAGAAGAAGGGGAGATAAGGACGACAGATGTCTTCATAGGAAAGAAGAAGCAAACCACATCAGAGCGCCCGCCAACCACCCACAGCATAAATTTTTTTTCTTCCTCTCACCTATAGGCAGAGCAGAGTACACGCGCCAGCCAATCAGGCATAGTACATGACTCGACGTGTATCTTGGTGCACACTGACGGCTCTGGCTAGGTACAAGGGGTTGCGGTCTTCGCTGTTGTCCGAGTGACGAGAGCCCTCGCCGCTGGAGAATAAATCACCACTGTGTGGGTGAGAGGCATTAGAAGAGGGGGCAAAGTCTAACCCCTCAGGGTGACAGGCAAAACATGCATACATACAATACAATCACACTCACATGCACACACACACACACACACTCACTCTCACACATGTGCACACACATGCAAACACGAATACACACAAACTCTCCCACAGACACCCACTCTCACACACACACACACACACACACACAAACTCTCACACACACATGAACACACAAACTCTCACACACACATGTACACACACTCACTCACTTACACACACACACAACAACAGCAACATCACCGAGTACCTATCTGTCATGTTCCTTCTCCACGAGGTGATACATTGCTCTGAAGGTCACACACACTCCCACACACATGCACTCTCTCTCTCTCTCTCTCTCTCACAATCACATACACACAAAAAAAAACAGCGACACCACCAATGTACCTATCAGTCATGTTCCTTCTCTACAAGGTGATATCTGGCTTGGAAGGCAATATACACACTCCCACACACATACACTCTCTCTCTCTCTCTCACAACCACACACACTCACTCACTCACATTCACACACACTCACACAACAACAGCAACGCCACCAATGTACGTAACTGTCATGTTCCGTCTTCCCCAAGTGATACCTCGCTCGGAAAGCCACACACATACACACTCTCTCTCTCAAACAATCACATACATACACACATACACTCTCTCTCTCTCTCTCTCACACACACACACACACACACAAAAACAGCAACACCACCAATGTACCTACCTGTCATTTTCCTTTTCCTCCAGGTGATACCTCGCTCGGAAGGCCACACACACACACACACAAAACCCCCCAAAAGAACAACAAAAACTAGCAACACCACCAGTGTGCCTACCTGTCATGTTCTTTCTCCACCAGATGATATCTCGCCCGAAAGGCTACCAGGTGTGCGTAGTAGGCCGGGGCGGGGATGGAGACGGAGCGCGTGCAGCGCACGTACGTGTGGCACAGCTGGTACGTCAGGATCTGGAGCTCATCCGCGTTGAAGCGATTGTCGTCCCACAGGACGTGGTAGTGTGACGGTCGGCTGGTACCCTGGGGGAGGGGAGGCGGGAGGGAGGAGGGAGGGAGGAGGGAGGGGAGAGGAGGGTGGGGGAGGGAAGGGGGGAGGAGGGAAGGGGGAGGGTGGTTGAAGGGGGGAGAAAAGAGGGAGGGGGGAGGAGGGAGAGAGAGAGGGGAGGATGGAGGAAGGGGGGGGGGGGGTGGAATAGAACGCATTTGTGAGGCATCGAGGTGAAACTAGATGCTTGTCAGATTAACGAAATCGAAGAAACCGACATTTTTTTCCCGCCCGTTGTCTGAACACTTCATGTCTATCAAAGACACATTCAGCATGGATTTTACAGAAAAAATGATTGTGTAGTGGTATATACCTGTACGTCTGATACCAGCATGGGAACACATACCCGTACATCTGAGCCGGAGAAACTACCTGTACGCCTAATCCCTGTGTAGGAGCACATACCGGCGTGCCCAGTGCCTTCATAATGGTACATATCAGCCTGCCTAATTCTTGCATGGTGTTATACACCAGTCTGCCTAATACCTGCATGGTGTTATACACCAGCCTGCCTAATACCTGCATGGTGTTATACACCAGCCTGCCTAATACCTGCATGTGAGCATACACCTGCTATCAGGTCTGCGGGGGTAGTAATATAGATTGTAATGCACATAGAGCTAGCCTCCCTCAGCCTGAAATTCCTACGAATTACACCACCTGCTGCCAAATGATCAAGTCAAACTCAAGGAAAAGTGGATGAATGATTGGGCCACAGGTACGACAGGAAGGATGATGTATGGCCACATGAATAAACCACTGGTCAAAGATCCAATCAATGAGTTGAGGAGGTGAGATCAATCCATAATCTTCCAACTTAGAACACAACATGTACCCCTCAACCAACATCTCAACCGAATTGGAGTAAAGCAGTCTGCTGCCTGCCCACTATGTGACTACCCCTCAGAGACAGTGAACAGCATCTGTTCTTCTGTAGAAAACTAATAACTGATTTAAGGGGATGTTTTCTTCCCAAGCTACCCCACACATCTAATTGCCTCTACTCCTCAAGACAACAATTAGAACAGACATGCAGCTATTATTGAATGGCATCATGCAGAGAGTTAACGCTCAGATGCTACTGGATCACTAACAACAACAACAACAACAACGTAGAGCTAACTGTTCACCGGGAATTTGTGCTAAACAAATATATGATCTATTATCATTATTATCATAAATATTATTACCAATGCTTGTGCGTGAGCACATTCCTGTATGAGTTTGTACGTGGCCTATACCCTGCCAGGGGTGAAAGGCATTGATGATGACGACATACCTGTATGCCTGCGTGTGAGCAGAGGTAAAAGTCAAACTCGGTGGGGTGCGTGATTCCCTGGTCCACCGTGGTGCCCGCTGGAATGTTGCCGCTGCGGCCGGTGTGGTCCCGACGGTCGGCGCAGAACAGCCGTGTGTGGTGGCGTTTCTGCACCACGATGAAGGTGATGCCCGGCTGGTAGTCCACCTCCAGCTTCATGCAGGCTTCGCGGATGGCACGCAGTTCATGCCCCAGCACCTGAGGGTAGAGAGTCTGCACTTTAATACTGGGTGCCTACTACGTCTGGATCGGGCCGATAGCCCGACTCGGTCGCCTGAAACTGAAAGCAAACTGAAAACAAACATGTTTGTTTTTTAAGCGACCGAGTCAGTCGATCGGCCCATCAGCAAATCCCATCCATAGTAGGCATCCCGTATAAGATCCTTTCACCCCCCTTCGCAGCTCTGTAGTTTGTATGTAGACACTTGCGTTCTCCCAAACTGGTCCTCTGCCATTTTTTTCTCACCACTGGTTTAGTTTTTAGTTTTAGTAAGAGTTTTATGGCACTTGCAACACAATAAGGTCATATAAGTGCCGAAGATTATCTCACTTGCGACTGGGCCCTTTCACCAGTCACAAGCGTTGAAGACTGGCTTTTTTGGGGGTATTTCAATAAATCACCACAACTCTCAGAATTACCCTATTGTAATCATTTTTTGACACAG